GCATTCAGTGTGGGAAAGTAAAACCGAAGATGCCATTTGCCAAATGTAAACTGAGAAAATAATGGATTTAATCTTTGATTATGCATGTAGTATAAATACCTTTGTCCTAGTTTCAGTCCATGGTATCACAATACCAACTTATGGTGATGCCTCTTTCTATATTAAATCTAAATGAAAGCCATCACACTCGCATGGTTAATGGTGCTTTGAATATGGGGGATTCACAATAGTGTGCCTCCAAGAGTTTGCAACGTATTGGCCAATCACGACGCCGTTGACCCAATGCGCACTTGGAAAGGGTCGACAGATTTCGTGCGTCGTGATTGGCCAACACGTTGCAAACTCTTGGAGGCGCAATACTGTACTCACCTGTATTGCCCCAAGAGACTACGAGACTTGTAGACCTGTCCATGGACTTGTGTTTTTTCATTGACTGGGAGTTTACACTTAAGTTAACCAAAACTTTTAAATATGGTGATCTACAACTCAACACATGTATTTACTTCACTGTGAAAATCATATTATTTTATAAAAGTTGAATGCCATTGGTAACTGTACCCTTTCAGAATAATACGTATACTCGGAAAGGAATGCTCTTCCTTATGCCGAAAAGTTTGGGAACGGGTGGAAGTAGTTAGCAGTCAATATGCCCAATCAACAAAAATGCTGTGATTCTTTCTGTTTATAAATAAACCTACGTTCAGATATCATGGTTGAATAATCACCAGGATTTGACTTATGGCATTATGGCAGATGCTGCTTTGTGAAATTTGTTTTGCCTTTATGTGGCGTTGTATCTACAGAATTATTGAAAATACCTATTTCAGTATTTGCACTCAACAGTATTATTTTTCTTGATAATTGTTAGGAATTTGTAGAAAATGTAGGTATAACCATACTTATTGTTAACCCTACGCTGTAAGTACCGCTAACGTATACTGATGCAGTTTTTCATTAATCCGTGTGACAGAAGCCAGTAAGTGCACTTTCTTTCGTACAATTTAATATTTTGTTCTAAGCAACAGTAACTTAGAGATCCGTCAGTTTTATCTTTCGTTTATCAGAGCTGAGTATGGGAAAGTAAATGTAAGCCTATTGACACAGAATTATCACTGGTTGCTTTGTGGAAGGTACGAACACTGGTTTGGTTGGCTGCATGCTGATGCTACACGTCATGTTTTACAACCCACCACAAATTGTCAGATCTTAGCTCATGTTATCAGTGTGGTCAAATCGATGTGCAAATTATTTATGGGAGGACTACATTAAAAGAGCTGACATAAATACTAGTCTTGTGGAGCGTTAACGTTTCTCTGGTTATTTTGGCACTTCTTTTGGCATGCAGGGTTCCCAATGGAATAATCTTGACTCGATGTTTGCACGCGATGTTTTCTTGAGAAGAGTCTCCTTTTAGGTGACTCTTCTCACGGGTATGGTTGTGTTGAATTACCTAAGCTGAATGAGTTTGCAAGGCGTTTCAGCCTTTTATCTAATATTGTAGTCAACGCTTAAAAGAGGAGTGTTACTTACTGGTCAACTGAACAAGACCAATAGCAGTGTACGGAAACAAACTCAGAGGTCGGGCCAAAGATAAACTTGAAATCAAGTCGGTAATTGGCTGGGTGTAGTCCACCTTCCTCGCGATAGGTAGGCGGGGTGGTTCGGCGAGCAGTTTAATAACTCGCGGGAACGGTCAGCGCAACCTCGCTCCCCTGTATACGTGTCTGACGGTACCCAATTAGGCGAGCACAGGGGTTGTGGACCGACGTGCGCCGAAACCCGGTACTGTACAGCCCACGAGCAAGGGCAGAATCGGTGCGGCATGCTGAATGGATCGCGGGCAACAGTGAACGGGCTCCGCACGAATTGTAAAATGACGCAGCGTATGGACGACAAACACGACCGACTGACGACTTGATTTAAAGTCTAGGCCAATACTCATTTAACTGGAGGGATATAGGCCTACAACTAGTGAAACTGCCCTGGCATTCCCTATTCTCGAACTCATTCGACGTGAAGAGCGTTCTGCCGCTTCAGTGGCATAGACAACGCAATGGTTTCTATGTCAATCACAGCTGTTGCTTGTAATTTCGGGTTTTTTTTTTCTAATCAAAATTCTGGATGAGAATTGCAGAGTCAACCATGACAATCTCACGGTATTGGGAGTCGCGGGACAGCTGTTGTTCGACCAGGTTCATTTCGACTCGAACGTTCATGGCTGGTTTTGTGTACGTGCGTGCAGTCTATTAGCATACAAATGATACATGTACATGTACTTCCTTGTACAGATAGTTGTGTTTTTAAGTCTTTGAGTAAATTTCCAACCACTTTCGCTTTTACCAACAAGGTTTTCGTTGATACAGTGCCCACTTCATCTATACAAACCTTTTATCTAGGCTTCCAGTATCCAAAACCAAGTCCAGCCCAAAACTCTGACTTTAGAATATTTATTACGAACCTAACAGGGGCAATACAGTAGTCGAATTAAAGGTAAATATAATGTAAAAATTATTTACGGATGGGCAACTCCAAATCAAGAAAATTTCACCCCAAACCACATACTCAATGTATGGAAGGCAACTCTACTGGCGCCCATATATAATTCCAACCTGTAAGTTAAAAGAACAAATTGCAATACACATGTATCAGATTGAATTTTTCCTTTAAAATATGCGGCTGTGCTGTTCAGTTGGATTTGTTCTGATGTTTAACCATTTTCAAGATATTGTTTTTGTCGCTTATGGCGTTTCATATGATCGGAAAGTGAAAGAAGTGCGTTGACACAAATAGCCTATCCACTGTAGCAGGCTTGTGTTTTGCTGTCCTTACTTTTGCTGGCCAACATTACAATCCGTCGTGTTTTAAAGAGCTAGTGGGCCTATCCATGGTGGGAAGAGGCGAAATTCTTCGCTTCACAGACTGACATGAATTGCAGTTTTGTGAGCCGGGAACATTCCCAGGCAAAGACACGGGACCTTGATTTTTGCTGCCATCCCGAAATGAGTCAGTACCTCAGAGGATGCGATCGGAGCTGCCGTTATCAAGCATTTTCATTGAGCCACGGTGAGGAGAACATGATTGCCTGCTTGAAACATGGTCATGTTCCTACTTGGAATGATTTGGCATTAAAATCGAGGGAGGGGGGCCCATACAAGCATTACTCTTCACACTGACTCACAGCTCGTTCTGCTGTTTGGTGTCTTGGCTGTTTATCATATAGGATTAAAGGAATCCCCAAACCATGAAAAAGTCAAACTGCAACATCCTATACATGTGTGGGTTTACATGTATGTCAAAGCTGTGCCATTTTCCCGGTACGAAAAACGGTTTTTTATAGGCTGTAATCAAGTCTATACATGTATTTTTGTAGTCACTAGGTTTTTTCTTGGTGTACTATAGAATCGAATAGTACAATCGAATGACAGAAGATAATGAGAAGAGCCACTTTTCATGCAGAAGATCTTTACTGTTTTAACAAGAGTCTATATTGTGGGAAATGCAAATTTTTCTCAGACTATCCTCGACAAACACTCTATAAACTGAGGATTTGTCCATCTTGATCTGTGGCCTAGGGGAGACACGCTTGGTCGGGATGAATACAAAACTGTTATAACCAATGCCCCATGCAGATTGTGACTATTTTCCTGTCCCAGGGGTTTGACCCCCAATCCAGGCGTGTCAACAGAACGGAACAAACAAGTTATCAACCAAGGGGGGACTCGGGATGAAATCCCATAGATTGGAAAGCCCTCCACGAGGCGACGTTTGTCTGGAGTCTGACCCGGGCTTCCCTGCCCTTTTTCTTGTTAGGCCTACAACATGGTTCCCCGGCCGCCGGCATGGCTTTCGTCTGACAATTTTCCTATAGCAAACTGAATTATGACATTATCACTCCACGCCATGTTTGCATCGACTCCAAACAAACGAATGCATTACTTATGGCAATTACTGAAGTAGATTTCCATATGTAATTCGGCTCTCACTTTTTATCTGAATTTGATGAAGGGCACTCACTGCATGCTGTAATGCGCGTTTTGATTGCGCCAATTTGACAAAGACGCTCGTCCCGTGTCACACCAAAAACGGCCATTTTTATCTTTTTCACAGAACATAAGCTCCCTAAGTACAGCTTCATCTGCAAAGCTATTTTGTCAAAATGTTTTAAAAACTGTGTTGAAGGAAAATCAATGTGCACCTCAGAAAAGATTCTCCCGACGGATAAAAAACATCAACACAACGGATTTCGCCACATTCTGCTGCCAAGCAACAACTATTCAGTGTTTTATGCCCCAGCCGTCCCATATATTTATAGCTGTGATCAAGTATGGGTCGACCTTTTTTTATTCGGAGGAGTTTGACTAAGCTTCCACTAGGCTGAGAATATGAGAATGAAACGTGAGCGTGAGTATTCTGAGCCATGACTCCCTAACCCCCTTTTCCTTCCGCTCAGGACTTCCTCGAGTTAGCCGCAGAGTGCAAAGTGAGGGTCACTTAAACTCAAACTCTCCCCGCCGAAGCGGACAAAACTGTTTGGCTTTCCTTTCTGGTCTTTGTCATTGATACAGTCTTTGTTTCAGGACTGTTTGTCTATCACAAGACGATCAATAGATAAACTGACCATTATTAAAAAGAAGTGGTGTCCTCTAGCGACCATTCAGAGAGCACCCTTTCCGTTTAGTCCTGATCTCGTATGGTGGCCATTTCCAGGACTTTCCAGGGTGGGGGCACCAAGCATTCTATGATAGCAGGCCTACGAACAAACAACAGGGAATGGGATCAGTTCTGAACCGTCTTCGTTTTGTGTTTTGTCTTCTTCCTTTAATTTCCACCACCCCCACCGCAGTGCTCACTTTTGAAACATCCTTTGCAATTCCTCACTTACACTTGGATATATACATTTTATGAGCCAGTGTTCGTGGTTTTATTTTGGAGAAGTTCTGAAAGCTCACCATTTATAAAGACTTCAAAGCAAAATTAATGCTAGTCAACTTCAAATATTGAAGACTGGTTGTCTGTTAAGATTTATTTTGATCAACCGGGAAGTTTACGTTTCACTGATAAAGTATGTAACATCCACGCAGCTATATTTACGTACTGGCTTCAAGAACACCTAGGAGTGTCTCTTCCAAGATTATTTAGACAATATTCCCTGGAGGATCACTCGGGTTCCTCAACATTTTGCCCAATGCTTAATCGTGCTTAATTTACACCAAAACGTAGAAATGAACTCTGGCATACCATAGGCTGTAAACCATTGGCAGCTCTTCATGGTGTCGTGTGAAAAGCCGCTTACACCCACACATATTTTGTCACATACTACGACAGGGCGATCAACCTTTTCGTTTTACGACTCCGCATCATAACCCAGGAGAAAATGAAGGATCATTTTCACCTACGGGATTTTGCCTTCCCCAGACTAGCGCCCACAGCCACCGAGGTCTGGCGCCCCCATTGCTATGAACCATTCTCCGCCACCATGTTTCTCTTACAATTCTTTGGAGGCTGAGAAAAGTGAATACTAGCTGGCTTTCAGAAACCTTTAAAAAAATTAAATCAATAATTGATTTTAAATTGTAAACGTCTCGAGTCCTAGAATACTGATAGAATTCCTCACACACCCCAAGGAATAGGCGTTTTACAATATTAATAACTTAAGGATTTTACTCGTGGAATGTAAAGGCACTTTGATCTAAGTTAGTTAAAAGCGCTTTATAAAAACTGTTGTTATTATTATTATAATTAGTTTTCGATTCCCTCTGCAAATCTGATCTTAAATATCTCACTAAGATGGCGGGGTTTACATTTTCAATCACATTCTTTCCAGAAGATCTAGACTGCCTCCATTGGCTTTAATTCGCGAGATGGTGATATTTTGGATCTTGCTCCAAGAGTCCACTTTATTTATAGAATGCTCTGAAGTGGGAAGGAGCCTAACTATTTTACAACAACTGCAGGTAAAGTGTCATGTTGAGAAAAATGTCAAATTTGGACATTCAAGGTAATGTGAGATTTTAGCCATAACGACTCACTGGAGCACAGGAGTGGTAATCTATGATTAGCCTTACTGCATGAAAGTGGCATGGCTAGGGTAGATTTTAAGGGGGACACCTGGGGTGCACTCATTTTTTTCAAGGTGGCACCGACAGTCAAGGAATTGGGGCTTGTGCATAGAGTGTGTGTCAGTACATTTCAAATTTTCAAAGGGGGGGGGGCACAGACCCCCACTGGGGTTTAGTTATTCCCCTTCTGCATCATGTTCATTTCCACACATATTAGGATTTTCAAATATTTAACAGGAATCGCTTTGCTTTTCATTTAAGATGGCTGACTTGTCAAAATGGCCGACAGCAAGTGCTGTAATTTATGCACAGTACAGTGTATTCTGAAATACTACTTCAAATGAGCAAACAGGAGCGATGCACAATGCAGTGCCATCCCAACGCTTATCCCCTCCAAAGTCCATTTCTGGTTTGCGGGTCAGTGTCGGTAACTACAAGGTGCTTACCGGTTACAGCACTTCGGAGGTATGGTGCACTGAGAGTCGGTAAACAAAAAAATGTCTTGATTTGTCAGTGCTTCGCATGTTCCTACAAGAAGGTTGAGTGGAAGGATTTGGTTGTGACAGCTTGAGCAAGGAGAAATGATTTAGAGCGGTTTTAAACACAGAGTTGCACATCGTCAAGCTTTACCCACAGTGCAATGTGCATTTCCGTTGATTGGAGTCCTCATTTTAATTGATCAATCCATGGCTTGGTGTTGCCATCAGAAATGATGAAAAGCAGCCCTGTAGAAGTCCCATCAAAAAACTACATTTCATACAAATTACAACATAGTCATTAAGTATGTATTCGCTGCAGCATTGAAAGCATCCATATTTGGAGTGGCAGGAGATACGTTAACATTCACTCAGCAGTGTTGCGAATCGCTCCAATTAGACATGACTCAAATTAAATGTACCAGCATGAGCATGAGTACAATCCACCACTGGCTACATTGCACAGTTCTCATTGACAGGTTAATCTACGTCGCGACAGCTCGCAACATTTCAGACTTGATGTACAGGCCAGGAGTGATTTTTACAGCGGGGAATCCACGTCGCCCATCTCAACGTAGACGCTTTTGAGCTGGGTGTAGCTGTTGAGCGTGACGGCGGCATTCTCCCTGCCCAGCCCCGACTGCTTGTAGCCGCCGAACGGCCAGCCGGCGGGATATGTGTTGTAGGTGTTGATCCAGCATGACCCTGCTCTCATGTTCTTGATGACGCGGTGAGCGCGCTGAATGTCTCTGGATAGTTCACGAAAAACATCAGGCCAAAAAAACTTGGTTAAACACTTGGTTATTGAGGATGTGATGTGAACATTGGTGGGTAGGGACAAGCAGGGCAAATGGTCCTCAGAAAAGAAGTATTTTGAAAAATGTTCCAGGAAAATAATCGTTTTTTAACTCCTAGCCGACTCAACTTCGAAGAAACTTTACACAGAAATTAATGCTGAGAAGATTTAGATGCTGAGCCCAAAACACACTATCTAACATTTCTCGCTGGCAGCCTCATTCTGTTAAGCAGGTTTTTTTATTGGCTTAGCACATCCCTATGCTTAGCAGCAGCCCAATGAGACTGGTTCCTGTGATTTCAGCTTGACGAGTATACCTTGTGATCTGAGTTTGGTCAGTGTCAAAAGACATAACAGTCTATCATTTTATTGAAGCCTCTATCACAAAACCCCCAAAAACGAAGACCACTTGCTCACATGGGAATAGGTTTAAGTCGGAGAAAATGTTTGAAGACCTTACAAGAAAAATCAAAATACTATATTAATCCAATTGCAGATGCATCGAACATTGCAAGTTATGCTTCCTGTACATTTCAAATGGGTGATAAAATTTGCAGAAACTGCTGGCCAATGGTGACATTTTCGAAAAAGAAAAATCCACTCACTTTGTAAATACACCACCTGAAAGCCCCAGAGGAGTGTCATTTGCTCGTTGGGTGACCTCTTCCTCGGTGTCAAAGGTCAAGAGGGTCAGCACGGGGCCAAAAGTCTCTTCCTTGATGATGGTCATGTCATCTGTCAGGTTGTCCAACACGCAGGGAGAGAGGTAATACCCACTGGCAAGCTTAGGGTCTTCGGGGGTGACTCTCTCACCCCCACACAGGACGGAGGCTCCCTGCAAGTGAGAACAAAATATAAAGCACAAGCCTAATCTGGACATTGTGTTCGAATAGACCGGACAAAAAATTGGAGGAAAAAAGTATGACTTTAATTTTATGATTCAATTCATTTTACAGATTGAATTAAAATACTTAGACGGGTGGAATTGTAATGCCAAGAAACAAAAGCTCTAAAAGTTCGTCGTCACAAAGTAAAGGAAATTTAATTATTTCAATGCTATGTTTTATTTATCAGTGTATTTTTTTGGTGTGTTAATTATTTCCCCCATTTGAGAAATTAGTCTGCCCCAGTAGAGTAGCAAGCTTTAGATTCTTAGATGTGTAAATGAGAATTATGCAAATTCAGATTTGGTGGAGTGATTTTGTTTCAAGGTCTACATGAAGAAGCCCTGTGCATACCCAAGGGACTGCTGTATATGCCTTCAGGGTGTGCAGTCACCATATATTCCTGTGTGGAATTGTGTGGGGTACTGTGTGTACCGCGGCATGGCCCAACCTAAGAAGCCAGTTCTAACAAAAATTGTACATGTAAGTTATTTAAAATTTGTTTAATATTTAATTAAGATAGACAGGATTGCCTGGAACAAGTTCCTTGGAATGTTTATGGGACAAAAATCACAACCATCATAAGTGTAAAATTGGAATTGGCATTTTGTAATTAAGTTTTCATAAGGTGTAATTCTCTCTATGGATCGAGATATGAATACTGATGTTGGAAGTAATTTTCATTCTTCGAACTGGATGTGGATTTATTTTTGCAAAACAATTATGCATTGTTTTAAAGGGCTTTTCCCACGAAGAAGCTACCCGAAGACAGGGTTCCAGGTCTTTGGTGAGGCCACACCTGGTGGGAGTCAGACATCCTGTGTGGATTCGTCTTGAAATATGCATGTAATAACCTGTTTCTGATGTGGAGTGAGTCGGGAGCAACACCATACTGTACCCAACTGTCTTCAATCCAGTGTGTGCCAAGTACCTGTCTTTGTTAGACAAGTCCGGTCAACTGGCTACCAATTTACACATTTACCTGTAGCCAAGGACAGTGTCCAGATAGATACATCATTATGACATTCAGGTCTGCCCATGGAGCCAACAGCGATGGGGCAGGGAACTTCAAATTCTCTTCAGAATTACATCTAGCCAGGGACACTTAGTTCCAGTGAGTAGACTGGTTGTAGAAATCCTAGTATAGTGCCTCTTGGTGCCAGAGTCAATCACTCTACTTAACCCAGTCTTAAGTTTTCTTTTTTTCTTTAATATTTTTTTTGTAGTAATAATTGTCATGATTTTTTTTTTGTAGAAATAAATAGATGTACCAGTACGGCCAACATAAATTAATGGTCCTGTGTTTTATCAATTTGTCAATTTATGTTTTTCCATCGTCACTGTCATCCTACGTGGGAAGGACAGGCCAATGGTGTGACATCATCGGGGACCGATAAAATCCTATAAAAAAAGTCACAGCAAAATTCTTTGTAGCGCATACGCGCACCCGTTTGCGCTACAAAGAAATGCTCATTTACTGATTGTTCATTTGGGTTTTCCATATTGACTTTGTTGGCACATCGTTTTAGAAATTGCAGATATGCAAAAGCAGTTAAAAAAAGCCGCACAACATTTCAAGTTTTCCATTGGTTTGTTCGCAAACATGGAGGCGCCCAGCAGGCATAAAACTCTATTTGAGTCAGCAATCTCGTTTTTATACTGGTAGATAGCTCTATGGTTACAATGTAGGATACTTCAACAAAAAGATCACACTGTACTTGAGCATAACATACAAATTTAGTTGAAAACTAGCTCAGGGCTTAATGTATCACATTCAAGTGTATTCACATTACACATGCAGATATTCCGTGTTCAACTAACAACCCCTCGTACCTGTTTCTTGGCTCCTTCAATGTAGCCCAGCACGTTCTCCATGTGCTCTTTGCTGATGAGTGCTCCCACCTGGGTGTCCTCCTTCAGCGGGTCTCCCAGCCTCAGGGACCTGACTCTGCCCAGGAGTTTCTCGACGAACGCATCCTTGATGCTGCGCTCCACGTACACCTTGGTGGCATTGGAGCACACCTGTATCAAAGTGACGTTGGTGGGTTAGTTAAGGCGAGGAATAGAGAGAATCCACAAGCTCTCTCAGACACTGTACTGATTCCTCTGCATTCTTTCCTTCCTTAGTGCACTAATTTTTTTGACAGGTGCTTGTCTTTTCCAAGAATGGATTTGCGCCTTGGAGATGCTAATTAATTTAGGATTTTTGCCCTGCCTGACGTGTCTTGTCTAAGGGTAACACTGAGAGTTAGTTTTGCTCCTATCCTCGGCTGAAAAGTGACTTTGGATGTTTGTAACTTGGATGATCCATGCACCCATGTGCGAGAAAGCCATTTCAAACTGGGAAGATCTACTGCTTAAAATTGTCAGCAATATTCATTATCACCCAAGATATAAAAGATTTGACGAAGGTAGCTTGAAATATCCTGACATTCAAAATCTGTCAAATTTCTGTAAACATGAACACAAGCACACTTGAAAACACTGCATGATTTACCTGTACCAGAAAAAGAACATTTAGTGGTTATCCTTTGAGTAGAACACAGAAAACTTTACATGAGCATGTCCTGTGAGCCAACTTCGTCCATGTAGTGCAGTTGACTATCATACTGATCACAACGCTTGCAGCAATAAACTAACCTCCCCTTGAGTGAGGAAGTTTGCCAGCATCGCTCCCTTCACAGCATTCTCAAGGTCTGCATCAGCAAAGATGACGAGTGGAGACTTACCCCCCAGCTCCAGGGTCACATGCTTCAGGTCATCGGCACAGCTCCTCATGATCTGGGTCAAAGGTAAGAGGTTAGACACACCTGTCCATTTCTCTGAAACAGAACAACTATTTAAAGACAACTGGATGCAAAGAGAGACATTTTGGTGAATATGTACACATTTTGTGAATACTGAATAAAAATCAACATTTAATTCAGCAGTCATTTCAAGAGACGGTGTTACTTATGCCCTATCCAAGCTTTATCAAGCTGAAAACTGTTCGATGTTGCATGTTTGTCTTCAAACCGTTTGCACAAAATGTGGTAAAACCTGTGCTTGACAAGGCCAGAAATGATAAAGGAAAAATTTAATTTGTTTAATTATTTAGGACTTAGTTCTGTGAAACTGCACTGCAGTTGCCTTTTGTTATACAATTCATAACACACTGCATTGCTACTGAATGCATGTACCAAGTTAGGAACAGCATGCCAAAGTACTCACATGCTTTCCAGTGGGGACACTCCCAGTGAAGGACACTTTGGCTACATCAGGGTGAGAGGTCAGGGCAGTGCCGGTCACTGCCTGACCCTGGACAACATTGAAGACACCTCTAGGAAGGCCACTCTCTGGGGAAAACAAAGAACATAAGAAATGCAAGCACACTGGAAAACTTCATATGGACGATGTACACAAGAACCACCTCCCCACCTTAACAGAGACACAGGCTTGGCAGACGCTGGATTACAATAAGCCTTTAGCTAGTTACATTTGAATGGAATCTGGTACACCGAGTTCTTTAAATTCACATGAACAGAACAATATGATTCTCTACACTCAAGACACTGTTGCTATACCTCGTGATTCGAGGCAAGCTTTTGCTTAGTTACATAAGAGACGCCTTGTAACAACACACTGTTTTCAATGGGTAAAAAGGGCAAAAAGGAACCAGTCCATTCCAGAGATGGTGGTCCCTATGCAAAAGCTTGCCCCGAATTATGAAACATAGCAACAGTGTCGCTAGTCTGGAGAATTCAAATTGTTATGTTAATGTGCAAGAAGATAACACAGTGTACCAGACTTTATTGCCACAGTGTGTCATGATCAGTGCCCACGAGAAAATGCTATAGGTTTGCCAATTCTCTGATCAATATACATGTATGTAAGCTCACATATCAAGTGAACTTGTGACATATACAAGTAGATCCATGGAGTGCCATTGTCAGGTAACAAAGAGCTTTACTAAAAACCACAAGTATTGTACATCACACTTTCCATCTACCAATGATCTCAAAGCACTGAACAATGAACCAGTTCATAATTCCAAGAGTGCATGCCTAAAATGAAGTGTGTCTGAGGTCATTCAGACGCGCCTGTGGGGTCTTTCCTCTCAGCGCGGACTCACGCACGTGCTTTGCTCCTGAGTGACCCTGCTTGCTTGAAATACTGAACTGGCTCATTATTACCCAATGCACTTGGCAAGACTACTCAGCATCCAGTTACAGGACACACCTTGTCTCCACCCTCAAAAGTACCTGTTTGTTCACCTGGGTGGAGGGAGGCACATAAAGGGTATTGTGACCCGTCCAAGGTCACATGTTGTCAGCTTCTGGATTCAAACTTCCGACCTTTGACAGGACTTCACAAATCCCTACCATTTAGCTACAAGGCCGCCCTCCTGTTGTTGAGTTTTGTTGAACTGTGATGTTCTGACATTATCATTTGCTTTGCAATCATTTAACCTTGTGCATTTACTGCCCAGTGCCCATGTTATCCAGCTTAGTTCATTCCTAACCATACCTGGCACAGAGCTCGGTACTCAAAAAAGTACCGGACTGCAACACTGCGCATTCAAAACCTTGAGTAATATTGACAACGTCGACAAGTTTGGTCCATAATACATGCACATCACGTCAGTGATGCACTAGCAGTTGTGTTAAAATGATTCCTGAACAGACTGAGGGCTAACCTAGCAGCGCTTCGGCATACAGGACGGCAGTCACCGGGGTGAACGGGGAGGGCTTGAACACCATGGTGTTACCGGCTGCCAGGGCTGGGGCAGATTTCCAGCCCACCATCTGGATGGGGAAGTTCCAGGCACCGATGCCAACGCAAACCCCTAGGGGCTCTCGGACTGTGTAGCCGAAGGTGCCGCTGGGGTACTGGAAATGTTCACCTGTGAACAAGAAGTGTAGAAATCAACGAGACCTTGGCAACAGTTGAGATCAGGACTCCTATCCGCCCCAAGTAGAACAACAGAGGGCATCCTTTTGTGTAATTGTGTAAGCACACAAGTTCATACCACGGGCGTCAACCAGCGGGGAATGCCCCCATATTTGTTTCTCACCCCCCTCACTGGCTTACATTTGATTGTACAGCTCATAATAGCAAATTAGACGTCTCAGAACTTGGAAGCAATGTCCAAAAATGGCTCAAAACTTGGGTCGGCCTAAAGCAGTCAGAAATTGTCTCAGATTGCACAGAAGATCGCAGAAGATCTCGTGTCCAATTTTCTGGGACCCTTAGGCAGGTCCTGCAGCCAATTTCATGAAACGTGGTGTAGCTTTGAGTCATGCGTAATACTTACATTCAACAATTGTTGAATTACCTCCGCCTGCCACTTTAAAAAGGTTTTCATCTTTTCTTCGTCGGAACTGGACGAAGAATCTCGCAATTCTCTCATAGCCAAGCAAGTTTTTCATTACATTCTACAACAAAGTTGTAAATTGTTCGCATCAGCCTTGTTACAAGTAAGGACAGCGATGATGAGGCTTATCCGAATATGTTAAGCTAGTCAAATCGTTCATTTTCCCTCCGTTTGACACAACTTACGCCACCTAAAATGACTGCGTAAGTTACGCCATAATATGCCATAAATTTCGTGAATTTGGTCTTAATTTGTTGCACAACTTACGCAATATATTGTGGCTTAAGTGGAGTTACATCATTGAGTAAAAGTTAGTGAAATCGGCTGCAGGACCCATGTAAGAGGCTGCACGCTTGCACTGGTTAATCGTGCACTATGTCTCCCCCACTTGTCAGAAGTGACTGAAATTCTCAAGTGGTTCCTATAGTCTGGTGTGGGACCATACGCATTCACTGAAAACAAAGTTTAATAATAACATGCATCTTGTGCTTAATGCTGACCTGCTAGACTTGGTGCCAGTCCAGCAAAGAACTCCAGTGCATCAGTGGCAGAGTAAACATCGACACGAGACTCAGAGATGGATTTGCCGACATTGATGGTCTCCATGGTTGCAAATTCTTCTACCCTTTCCTTTGACAAGAAAACCATTCCATAGGCAATTTTCAGGCAATAAGCTTCATCTCTGTATCAGGGCTCCTCTCAATAAAGTCAATCCCCATTCACAGAAATACTTCAGTGTTTTGTTCTGTCACATGTAGTTTGATGTTCCAGGTGTTATCTGACTTATCACTGAGCAAACGACTTCAAAGTCAGGGAGTAATAAATCAGGCAAATGCCTGAGACAAAGATGAAGCTGAGTATCGGCAAACCCCTGAAGTGTTGATGTGGTGAGGAATGAAATGTTAGGATTTGTCAGGATTTTATTATTTTGAAAATGTGATAAGCCAGACTAGAGCTCGAGAACTTTTTTTGAAAAATTGTTGTCTCCAAACACATCAGTAACACTGACCCGATTATGTTTTGCCTATTTCTCTGCATTTGAGATTACAGTCTAAGTGTGAGACACAAGGCTGACACTATTCAAATAATTTAATACCTGACCTTCCATTCAATTGAATATTTGGTCACACCAATTTCTTACAAAGATCTATAGAAAGAAAATCTGCATGCTTGTGTGGTGGTCTACCCCAATGAGTTTCAGGGCAGGGGTCCATCCCTAAGTTAATGGAGGAGGCTGGGAACCCATCTGATGTTCAATCCAAATTGGTAATTCCCTTAGTCCCTCTGAGATTGCACACCATGAAAAGTAATTTTCACAAGGCGAAAAATAACAGAACTTGTAGGAAAAGTAATGTTTTCCCTTGACTGGTGGACATACGTTCTTAGGATGCAACTTTATTATTTATATATTGTTTATATTGTATATATCTTTGTTAAATATCTTCATTTGTTTTCACCTCTGAATTTTGAATTTCCAAAACAAATATTTGAACATTTGATAATTGATCGCACACTCAGCACAGCTTTTTTGAGAGACAGTTTATACTTACAGCAAGCACACAGTGAAGCAAATTTGACATCAATAATATTTAAAGTATACTTCACTCAAATGGAAATGTTTTCATCTTTTACAAATTTGTCGCACGGAAGTTAGATCTGATGTCACAAAAATAGCTGTTGCATTTGCGCAAAGGATGAAGCCGCCTTCAGACAGCAGAGAGAGGGGTGCTGTCCAATTGTTTCTCACCCTGACTAGGCTGGCTGCACGCTGCAGTATCCTGGCCCTCTCAAGTGCTGGAGTTTCTGACCATTCCTGGAAGGCGTCTTTGGCAGCAGCCACAGCACGGTCAACATCCTGCTGGCTAGAGCTAGGTGACTCGCACAACACATTCCCTGCAAAAGTCGGAACACTAAATCCCATGAGACCAGCAGTACACCAGGGCAAGATATTCTTTGTTGGTCTATCACAGATGGCTCCTCATGCTTTTCAACGGTATTCTTGACATCAAAGAATTCAGATTGGCAAAGAGAATGCTTAGGGTGGAAATTTTTTTAAATTCTTGTAAAGTTTACACATAAAAACACTCACGTAACACTGGACACAAACACTGACAATCAGGAAATTAATTTCAATTTTCCCACGCAGTGTTTGGGAAACACTAGCCCAAAGTTCTTTGGGGAATTTGGCATCATCGGCATTGAGAGGGGTGCAAGGTAGGCCTAGGTCTTTTTCATAGCTCCATGGGTAAGAATGTTGCATACTGACTGCATCCTTACATATAACTGCTGAAGTCTATGGGGAATCAAGAAATTTTCTAAGTAGGCCTAGGCCTAGGGCCAAAGCCTATTCTTGGACAAACTTGGAAATATTTTTCAGTCCCGGATTCATTTCTTTATAGCATTTCAGCAATGACTGACCTTTGCTGAGATGATGGAGGCCTAGGCCTATGATGAAAAAAGTAGAAGCTAGCTATATCCCAAGCTTCTTGCAACCAATACGCAAAACTAATCTTACTTATGCCTACCTGTGGCAGGCTCGAAGACCTTAAAACTTTGCGTGTGATCTGTCGGTGCTACCCGTTCGCCACCGATGAAATTCAAGGGTTTCTGAAAGAAAGTGCTGACCGAACGTGATGTGCAAGCCATGGCCAACTTCCGTAGAGATCGTCGCCTCGAGAGACCAGCATTGAGGTGCTGCAGCTGCAGCCGCGCGTGGAAAGACAGAACTATCAACTGCCGACCGACTCCTAGCTGAGCCATGGTATGTGTGATCTAATTGGGCTAACGAGAGTGATTGATCACAAATACTTTCCACTACTATACTAGGGAAGCTGCCCAACCGGATCCACACTTATCTCAGCTGACTAGGACTTTTTGTTGTAGCATTCATGAAACAGCCGTCAGTGCACTAATCAAGGTTAGGCGTAGGCCTACTAATCTGCAGGTAGGAGCCATTTATCAATCGTGGTTACATTTGAGTAAAAATGAATTCAGTGTGTTTCTGTTTCAAAACATTAATTAATTTTAGATAGTATTAAGGTAAAGTGTTGTTATTTCCCCATGTAAAGAGGCCTATGAAATTTCGAAAGACATACGACCACTCGACGAACACCCTTATAAAATATAGAAGATCTCAACAGGTGTGACCTTTGACATCAACGAGACGATCGGGAGTAAGGCCTTCACAAAAAGCGGACTGGCTTGGTGAGTAAATAAGATCTTTTTTTACCTTTTTCATGTACAGAGAGTCTTTGTCTTTTCTTTGTTTCCACAGTGTTCACAAATAAATACATGTACATAATATCTACAAAAAATGGTTCAACAAGAGAGTGAAAACTGAGGGGGGGGGGCAAAAGAAGCTGAGCCTGTAAATAAATATCATGGGTCCCTTGTACATACTGTGCATATAATCATGGAGGTGTGATTCTACCTCCATGATGTAATGAGCGCTTTGAGGCAAAATGCAACATGCATATGATTATTATAATCATCAACAATTAAAGTGATTATGGTTCAAAACAAATACTGGACTTATAAAGACGTTACCTTATAGAACATACATTACACAATACAGACGAGGACAAACAACGGACAGTACATAATGCCAGTTTGAGGACTAGGCCCTATGAGGTATCAAGTGTATGTAAGACAATTAAATCAGCAATAACCATTTATTAAAATGGATTTAAAGGTTCGCTTAAAAGTTGAAAAATTTTTACTTTGTCTCAATGAATCGCTTAATGAATTCCATAACTTTGAACCATTATATCTAATAGTTTTTTGTGCAAAAGAAGTACGATTAATTAAGGTATTATACAAAGAAAATAAGACATGAGAAGGAACAAAATGTTTGATTCTAGCAATGACACCGGTATTTCTACTAATAATTTGACACAGATAATTGATGTGATTATTCCAAGTTAATCCGGAATCAATTACCAATCCCAGAAACTTAAGGCAATCTGTTTTCTCAGTCCTGAAGTTATTAATCCTGAACCCATCAGTAAGTTCACTGGCAGAGTTACTAAACGGCATATACTTACTTTTATTAAGATTTAGTGAAAGTTTATTAACCTTAAACCAGTTACAAACTGAGCTAAGTTCAGAATTAACCATTTCAACCAGGGTATCAATGTTTCTATGAGAGATAAATAAATTTGAGTCATCGGCAAACAAAATGAATGAAAATACATCAGATGATTTAGTAAAATCATTTATGTAAATCAAGAACAGTAACGGACCCAGAATAGACCCCTGTGGTACACCACTACCAAGATTTCTAGAGACTGAATTAGACACTAGTCATACATGTACATGTATGTCGTGTGGCATCTTACCATCACTGCTTTTGAGTGTCATGACAAGATGACTAACAATGTTAGTAATAGGACTAATGTTCGTCTGTGTTCCTGGCCATGCTGGCTGTTTTGTTTGCTCTGAAAGTCGTAGGCATGGCATTGGTAGTGCACTAGTGGGATAGGACTAGTGATGGGCGGGGCAGAGGGAGGAGGGGTGTACGGACATAGTTCCATACACGAACATCAGTTGACACCATGCGCACAAAGTCAATGAGACTGGTCTGAAAAAATTCTGTTTTCTAAGTACATGTAGATGTTTTGATAATTTCCTTGCAAGAAATGACATGGTAATTAGTATCACTTTCTGAGGGATGGCCAAAAAAACTACATGTACATGTAGGCCTATGCCCTAGCCTGCCTAGGGCTTAGGCCTAAGTTCAAGAGAAAAGCAGTAATGTCTGTATAGGAAGATGCAACTCTCGATGACATCCTGGAGCTTCATGACCTTTTGCGCATGGTGAAAACAAACAGCTACAATATAAGTCAACTGTGTTTTCAGCATGTTCAGATGTTCACCTGCACTTTGCTGTAACCTCGGGTTACAAAAGCTCCAGGATGAATGCATTAACCCTTACCTTCCCCAACCACACAGAATTAAAAAGTAGTAAAGTGTTTAATTCTGTGGGGATAGGTCTGGTAGGCCCATAACAGCTGGCTTTTGCATTGGGTTTGGCATACCTCAGAAAAACAAAGTCCAACAGCCTCTGTGCACAAAGTCCCATATGGGTGTTTTACTTTGTGTGAATGGGGAAGGTAAGGGCCAGCAACCCTTGACGGGCTAGGGTTAAGTTGCATCCGTCCACATGGAGCTCTTAGCAGGCTTACCCCTTTCTCTTGTGATTCACTAATCACTAGACCATAGAAAGAGAGTAGTTTCACATTTGTTTAATTCACCGTATTAATATTAGGCCTATATTATTTAGACTAAAGTAAATCATATTTGCATGATCGGTTGATCTTTTTTGAACAATCTGTCAATATTTCCGCCATCAGCTGATCACTTTTTCTGTCTATTTCAAGTGCAAGATTTCTGACTGGATTGATTGATACCACAATGCAATTGATCAATTGGTCCCAATATTATGATATTAATGATCACCCAGGTATTTAACCGTGAATAGTATTCCTTCCTTTGTTTCTGTCCAAACAGCAAAAGAGACAAACAGCCTCCAGGATGACATTGCAGGCATCACTTTGCTTTCTGGCTCTGCTTGTGGTGGAAGTGACATCACGCAATTTCTCTGCCCGACCTCCCGATGTTGAGCCTCCTCGAACCCAGCCTTTTGACCATGAAATGTTCCTTGGTGGCTACGTCAGTAAATAAGTTTTTCTCTGGATTCACAGAATGTAGTCCTTTCCCCCAAATCACATTTTAGGCAAAGTACATGCATCCCTCCTTACATTCCAATCTCTTCCCCACCATTATTATATCACCGTGTGTTTTAAATTTCTGTTCTGAGATTTTTTGATCTTGGAGTTTCAGTGCATGAACCCAGACCTTCCCAGATTTTTCAAAATCCACAGAATGGTTTGCCGGATTGTGCAGGACAACATTTATTTCAAGGCCTGCTACTGCCACTTTAAATGGTTCTGAATTCCCCCTGAAAGTTACAGAAAAGTGAATGCACATGTAAATTGCCATTTTGTTTCTGCACATTAACCCTAACAGTCCTCAATCCTTCACCTGTTGGAGGACTGAGGACTGTTAGGGTTAATGGACTTTGGAGACCCTGAAGAATTCCTCACAGAAGTACATGTATTGGGAGAATCAAGGTTTCTGTATTACCAGGGCATACACTTGGTCTTTCAGCTAACTTTTCATTCCATTCCTTGGGCCACATTTTTGCCATCACATCTCAGACTTTCTTTCACTTTCTCTGTGTAGAATTCAAGCGATTCACAATAGCGCGCCTGCAAGAGTTTGCAATGTGGTTGGCCAATCACAATGCACAAAGTCTGTCAACCCTTTCCAAACGCACATTGGGTCGACAGATTTCGCACATTGTGATTGCTTAATGCATTGCAAACTCTTGGAGGCGCCCTGTTGTGAATCGCCTGTATTTTTCAAGGTAGTACCACTCCAGAACAGAATCAAAGTGGATCGTAAATTTTGCGAGCAATTTCGGAACGCCTACTTGTTTGTCTCCTTCCTGCCTCTCAGAAAGCAGCCAGGGAGTTCAAGACACTCTCTCCAGAGGAGAGCAAGGCCCGGCTAAGGGTCATACTTAAGAAAGCCGACACCAACGAAGATGGTCACATTGACAGAGGTGAATCAAATGCAACAAGCTTGGATCATGTCTGGGGCCAGTTTCACAGAGCTGCTCAATGCAAACAAAATGCTTAGCACAGATGCATTCTTCTGAAGCGGGTTACCAACCAAATTTATGTGTTGTACGTGTTTGTTGTGACTGATTACCAGCTGATCCTTGCTTGAATGCCTGTCCTTGCTTCCTTGTAACCTGCTTTATGCACAAGACCCCCCTCCCCCACTAGCGACAAACAATGACAGGCAAATGTCAAATTTGTGAAATGTGCTGGTCTCCCACAAATTCGCTAATTTTGCTTACTTATGGGTAGGACTACCCTGTTTAAGACCACATGTAAGCAAGCACGTGATTTTTCTGTTCAGGAAATCCTTGCTTAGTCAAAACTCTCTTCTTCCCACATCCTCCACAATCATACTCTCACTGCTGCAAAGGACTGGTATATGTCGGGATGGTGTAATCTGACGTGATGTCAGTTTTTCTGCACCAACCTAACAATATTTTGGTGAACCCCTTCGCAGAGGAACTTCAAAATTGGATCATTGGCTCCCTGAAGAATATTGACCGAGTCATCGCTGAGGAGCACATGCTGGTCCAGGATAAGGACAAAGATGGCCGCCTGTCATGGGAGGAGTATAACATCCACGTCTTGGGCTTTGTGCCAGAAAATGATGCTGAATATCCAGATCAAGAAATCAAGCTAGTATGTGGATATATAAAGACAGTCGAGAGTCCAAAAAGGACCCACATCTCAGTTGCACTCATGAAGTGCAACCAAGGTCAAATTTGATCAGCAACAAATAGTCAACCAGTGGACGGTTTTTAACTGGTAACCTACACATTAAATTTATAGCGGGCATCAGGGAGAATCGACCAGTGATTAACAAACTGCCGTTGATCGAACTGCCCCATACTGTCACCCACAACAAAACCACACTCGTTCATTTGACAGTTCTCCTGACCAAAGTCACAGCTGGCTGTAACCTTGGCAATGTCTGATTCCAGGCTCCAACTGGCAAATCTCAAACATATGTACATGTACTAGGCAAAGTTTGAGCTAAATGCTGATTCACAGCCAAAGACGTCATTATGCAGTTCAAAAAACATGTTTTATCTCAGGATCGTACTCAGAGTTTGTAGCCTAGATATCCTTCACTTGAGTTGGCCAATACAGGACCTCCTGATAATTTTCAATGAACATGTCGTTACTTTTACAAGATGTACCTTAATCAGCTAACAGGCAATCTACGTTTATCCAAACAGGAAGTTAAGAGCAACAAGAAAATGTTCATGCTTGCTGACAAGAACAAAGATGGCTTCCTTGAAGGGGAAGAGTTGCTGGCCTTCTACAACCCTAATGCAGTGGAAGACATGCAGGTAGCCTGTCCAAATTGT